TCAATATATTGTATCACTATTACACTATATTGTATAAGTTACTATCACAGGCTGAATTTTATTATTTACATAATATCTGGTTACTTTGACTTAATTAAACTTTTATAGCTATCTACATTTTATAAGCCAGCTTTAATATTTGATCCATGGTCTATTTTTAAACTTATAAATTATAAGTTATAATTTTTAAATAACATTAATGAGAAATTTAATATAAACTTTTGTCAAATATAACAAACATTAAATAATATTAGCTTACTTAAAAAACTAATGAATTAAAATTATATTAAATTTAAAATGTTGATTTTAAACAATGTTTAAATCAATAAAAAGATAACACAATTACAAAATTTATTTTAAATTAGCGCATTTGACTAAATGGTTTATTTATGCACAAGATTTAGGAATATATTGCTATGAATTATAAAATAAAATTCAAAAAATTTCTTATGAGGTAAATATCTATCATAACGAGCGAAAGGGCCAAATATATTACTCGCTAAATACAGAGCATAATAACAGGGCATATATTTTTCAATTAATATTTTGTTTAGTGTGTTACGTGTGGGTTTTGAAAGTCACGTCAAAAATTTATTATTATTTGATCCTAATATGCGTGAAAATCTCAAAATACATAACAGAGAAAAATATTTTGATCCATTAATTTCTATATCATATCATTACACCAACATATAATAGTGGTGCATACTAGTATTATGTTTTATATATGTGGCACAGGGATGACCAAAGACGCTGTAAGTGTGTCTTATATATATAAGATAAACCCAGTTATTGTGTCCATTAATTTATATTTAATTATAAAAATCTACGGTTTCTCTCATGGAGTCTCTGATTTAAGAGTGAAAGCAATGTCTATTTTATTAGTAAATCTGTTTTCATTCATTTGTTTAATTTTAAATTCAATTGAGTTATACTCAGAGTCTGGAGGAAAGGAATTTCTAGATTATATAATTGAACTAGATTATAATTGAACATATTTATACTATCTTATTATACATTATGTAATACTATAAAATAATTGCATCTAAATTCAGAAATAAACCTACACAACACAGTTTAATAATTGTACAAAATTACATATATTACACAATTTTGTATTTAATTAAATTATAGATCAATAAAAATGTTGGCACATCATAACACATTAAATAAGTTTATTAAAATAATTAATAATAGATCTCACCAGGGTTAATAACTTGCTGATTTCACTACTCATACCCCCTCTGGTCTCCTTTGATATATATATATCGATGTATTTTACAACAAAACATTTTGTCAGCCGTTAAGCAATGCATTTGTGTTGAATAAATTGATAAGAAATTTTTTGGCTCTAATATTAGCGACAAAATTACAAGTAATCAACTCATGAATTAATAAATCAATAATAATTTTGAAAGTTTTATTATTTAATTCCCTGTGCGAGAGAGTGGTAATACACATTCAATTTAATTGAATTGCATTTATTAATATAATAAAATCGAAAATATAATAAAACTTAATATAGCGAATATTGTATTTTCAAATAGCAGTGTATTTTATTTAATGGGCTATGCTGGAATCAATTATAATTTTGTTTTTAACATTTCATGTTTTATAAGTAACTTTTATGTAACTATAATTTTTCATTTTAATGTATTCATTCATTTTGATAGTATTTTTGGACGTCGAATATGATTCATATGTCTATGAAAAACAATTGAAATAAAATAAATGCTTTATATTAATGACATTAGACATCTATTTGGATGCACATTCATGTTTGAACGTCAATATTACCAAATAATACATATTTTACAGCAGTTTAGTGAAAGTACGAAAATTCATCCCATGAGAGGGACAGACACACAGAATATTCTCGCGTTTCATAAATTCTGGTTTCCAATTTCAATTGTCAATAAATGCATGCAATTTATACAACAAATACATCATTAGGTGATTACAGTTAAGTCTCTATCGCTACACCATATTTCACATCACTTTTTATGCTTAAACATCACATATATTTCTAACACAAAAAACATATTTGTATCAAAAATTGTTAAAAAGCAGAGCACACAGCCATCTGTGCACTCATGTATATTTGTTTCATATATACCGTATATTCTGTATATTCTGTATATTCTGTATATTCTGTATCTCAAGTACTCATTCACTAGTGATGAGCATTGCTTCACAAAAACACAATCTTGAGTACAACTCAAACATATCAGTAATGTCTCATAATTATGTTAATTACTTCTCGAGAGTTAGACTTTTATATAAACTTCATATCCATTTCTAAAATGTCTGTTATATAATTTTATATCTCAAGATTAATATTACCTAAAAACACAAATAAGAGTTAAATTAAAATTCTTATTATGATAACGGAATAAATGTAACTCTTGATGACTACTGTATTATACTGAATGCAATACAATTTTATCATCTGAAGTACTTTAGTGGTTACTAAAGCTAAATACACTGTATTATATATGAGTATAGCGATTGACCTGATACTACTTTCCCGCAAACTCCTGTGTATTGTAAGCAATATTCAGAACCCTTATCTGATCTCATATTTACGGTATATATCAATATTATACATCAAAACAAATGATAGACTCTATAATAGAAGTGATAGATTTATCACAGCTTTTGCATTCGATTCATATATTACTCGACATATCATTTTTGGAGTCTCTCTCTCTCTCTCTCTCTCTCTCTCTCTCTTCACAAAAAATAATTCAAACAATCAATACCTTAAGGCAGAGATGGAATACAAATATTTTTCTTTTATTCACACAAAAACTATATCATAAGACAAGACGAGGGAGGGATGAGAGAGAGAGAGAGAGAGAGAGAGAGAGAGAGAAAACTCATTGAAACGGAGGCAATCCGTTCCATAATAATATAGACTTTTATATTTGTTTTTCATTTCAAATTTATATTTAAACATACATTTGTTTTTACATATGATTTGTTTCTATATAAAAATTTCATCCTAAATTGAAAGTTAAGTTTAGATAAAAAGTTACTTTTATTACATATGAAGAGCTCATTCACTCGACTATAACTGAAAATACTATAAATACTATATTTTTTGTTAAAATTTTATTAAATTTATGTAAATATTAATAAATGGAAAAACATTTATTTTTATCTAAAAGTTTTAAGTTATAAATGCTTTGACATTTGGTTTGCATAAACACTTAAAATTGCAAAACATATTCATTAAATTCTTAATTAAAAGTGAATTACTTTTTTCATAAACAAACATGTTTTCGATTATTAAATTTTATATGAAAATAACATATATATTATTTCATAAATGTTATCAAATATTTCGTCATAAACTGAACATTCAAATGACATTTTATCGTCAAATTATTGATTTATATATTATTTTAATGAATGCTTTGGTTTTACGTAAAACGACCAAATATACTGAATTTTTTAGTATATATAGAGAGAGAGAAAGAGAGAGAGAGAGAGAGAGAGAGAGAACTCATTGAAACGGAGGCAATCCGTTTCATAATAATATAGACTTTTATATTTGTTTTTCATTTCAAATTTATATTTAAACATACATTTGTTTTTACATATGATTTGTTTCTATATAAAAATTTTATCCTAAATTGAAAGTTAAGTTTAGATAAAAAGTTACTTTTATTACATATGAAATGTTTTATCATTTTTGGGAAATGAAGAGCTCATTCACTCGACTATAACTGAAAATACTATAAATACTATATTTTTTGTTTAAATTCTATTAAATTTATGTTAATATTAATAAATGGAAAAACTTTTATTTTTATCTAAAAGTTTTAAGTTATAAATGCTTTGACATTTGGTTTGCATAAACACTTAAAATTGAAAACTATTCATTAAATTCTTAATTAAAAGTGAATTACTTTTTTCATAAACAAACATGTTTTCGATTATTAAATTTTATATGAAAATAACATATATATTATTTCATAAATGTTATCAAATATTTCGTCATAAACTGAACATTCAAATGACATTTTATCGTCAAATTATTGATTTATATATTATTTTAATGAATGCTTTGGTTTTACGTAAAACGACCAAATATACTGAATTTTTTAGTATATACTCTGAATTTATTTAAATATTTTATTCTTATTTTTGATACCAAATAAGAAATCTTACAAAATTTTACCATATATTTTGTTTTAAAATTATGACTGAATAAATATATTTTGCAAAAAGTTTTGAAAATCAAAAATTTGGTTTTTATCAAATATTTTACTTCTATAGAAAATATATATCCTTATAATCAAAGTTGTACTGACAAATGCATTGCATTAGATATTATTATAATTAAATTTTGAGCAAAATTGCTAAATATTTATGTCTCAATCAATTTGAATGCTTTCACGTAAAATAAAGTAAATATTTGATTTTGCGCGAAATTAATCTAAATTATTGATCAAAATGGGAATTAGAAATGGACTCTTTTTTCATTTATAATTAAATTATTTACACATTTATTTATAATACAAAAAACTTTGCGATAATTACTTCTTTAGATTAAAAATTTATTCTGTGTTTAATGTGAATCTCTCAAAACTTGTTAGGAAATCATGGAAATAATGTGTGTACAAATAATAAACAAATAAGTTAGTATACTCATCTACTCAATTCTGAATAACCATACATTGAATCAAAACTATTAACAATTGTATACATATGATTGTTTTTAATGAAACTTTTCATTTGTATTCTTACAGTTCGATTACACGATAGTATTCAAGAGGAAGGTTATCATTACTTAATCTTTGATTTGGTGACCGGGGGTGAGCTCTTTGAGGACATAGTCGCCCGCGAATACTACTCAGAAGCCGATGCATCCCATTGTATTCAACAAATACTTGAATCTGTAAATCATTGTCATATGAATAACATTGTGCACAGAGATCTCAAAGTAAGTATATTTTTATTTTAAAGTATCAATATATTTTTTTAAATCAAAAGTTCCCTTATGATGATTACATAATGTATTCATTATTGCAAAATGTATTATGTTGTTAGCTTAACTTTAATAATAGATTATATTATATTAATTTTGAAAATTTTAAAATAGGATTAAATATTTTGTCTTGAACAAATAAAATGCATTTTTCTAAATTTAGATATAATTCCAATAACTCTATCTATTTGAGTCCTATGTAAACTTAAACACAGAATTTTTAATTTATTTGAGAATCTTTTGTCATTATATTAAGTATTTATTACTCCATAAGATAAATACACAGATATATTACACTCAGGGATAGTATAGGATTGACAACCAATTTTGGGTCAGAATTACATTCCCTCCGTTGGGTTTCACATCATTTCCATTATATACAGAATACGGAATTGAATCCTTTGGGGGAAATGCCTTCCTTTTCATCAATACATTACTTCTGTACCCCTTAGCGATCCCTTATTTTAATATACAATACATCTATATTAAAAATTTATAATATATTTGACAAAAATCATTAATAGCTGCTCAAAGCTATATATGATTTGATGAAATGAATAGTATTTTTGTTGTGATCTCTAGAGAGCTTAGGGATTGGGGAACTGACTGTGACATTCATTTTAATGATTATAAATTATAGTTTAAAAGAGTAATTCTCCATATATGCAGTGTATATACAGTTACAGGAGTTTTAAAATACAAAAATTTCTGTATTGTAGTGTTTTTTATTATTAAAAATTTTTTCATTTAAAAATAATGACACTTTTTGGTCTCGTTTTTGTACTTCAACTTGCCATTTGCGATAACAATAGTTGTAATCATAATAAATATATAATAAAAATCTATATATACTATAGACTAGTATAGTATTGCATATTTCTAATAATAACGATTGTATTATCATTTCTCTCCACAAAACACACTCTACTCTACTCTCTCTTCATCTCTACCATTCATCTCTCACTTCTTGTGCTGACTATTGTGAACACATTCCTGTGCTCTCACTTGTGGTGCTCTTCACTCGAAACTACTGTTCCCATTCATCCCATTCATTAATAGCCTGAAAATCTATTACTAGCGTTCATCTCTCACTTCTTGTGCTGACTATTGTGAACACATTCCTGTGCTCTCACTTGTGGTGCTCTTCACTCGAAACTACTGTTCCCATTCATCCCATTCATTAATAGCCTGAAAATCTATTACTAGCGAGTAAAGCGAAAGGCGCTGCCGTCAAATTGGCTGACTTTGGGCTGGCCATCGAAGTGCAGGGAGAGCAACAGGCCTGGTATGGTATGTATGCCCCAGTT